AAGTTTTTGTACCACCTGGGATGGGAAATCCCACTTTGGTAGCACAGAAAGGGAGATTTTCCACAACCCCCCAAAAAAGAATGGGGCATGTCCTTGCGCACTGGCTTTTGAGGTCTTGCTAGAGGATGCCCAAGACATGGTGCCCAATCAATATTTATGCTCTCTTCTACTTTAAGGGCAGCGCTGAAACAGCTTTGGCTTCCCTCAAGCAAAAGAAAAGAGGAGACCCCTTTGGTCAAGCCTCCATTCCGGTCGCCAGGTGTGAACGCCTCTTTGGTGGACCGCCAGGACCGAACCTGCATCGAGGCGGGAAATTGAACCGACTTCCAAAGTAACAAGTGCAGTAAGAATGAACTTACCTGACGATGATGACGATGATGATGACGATGGTGATGATGATGATGATGACGATGGTGATGACGATGGTGATGGTGATGGTGATGGTGATGGTGATGGTGATGGTGATGGTGATGGTGATGATGATGATGATGATGATGATGATGATGATGATGATCATGATTCTTTCCTGCGAAAAGTCAAAAGGCTAACCTGCAATTCGGATGTGTTTCTAGGTGCTCTTCAGCTGCCAGCGCAGCGGTGGGCAGGCATGTACCCAGGCAAAAGATAGTTGCGCCATCTACTGTCCTGGTGTAGACCAACTGGCCCAAGGAATACAACCACTGCTGCAACCTCATTCAATTTGTTCAGGCCCCTATAGTACCTGGTTTTTGGCAGGCAGAAGGTCCATATAGGCCTTGGTAAAGACACAGGCCCCTTTTAGTAGACATTTTAGCCGCACCTCCATTCAAGAATTTGACCTCCATGATCCACAATCAAAACCAGGGTAGAACAACGATGTCCCAGGCAGACCTAGGTGCAGCCGCCTTCAAACCTCCCATCGGTTCGACTAACCCGTTTTAGTGCCAGTTTTTTTCTTTTTTTAGTTCACATTGTGCTCTTCACGCAGTCTAACCCGTTTTAGTGCCAGGCTTTTTTCTTTTTTAGTTCACGTTGTGCTTTTCACGCAGTCTACCCTTCTGTCCACATTGCCACGGAACCTACCCGCTGTTTTCTGCCCACATTGCCATGGAACCTAGCAGAGGGCGTTTTTCAAGGCAACTCGTCTTCCACCCCGAAGCGGGCGCGCCATCGCGCCATCGCCGCCACCGAGGGTGGGGGGGCACTGGGGGGCAGGTGGCGCAGCAGCTTAACCGCCAGAAGGCGCTGAGTCGCTTGAAGCGGCTCTTGGAGCCCAAGCCTTCGGACGAGGAGTGAAGTTCGAAGCGCCGTGTGAGTTTTGTTCTTTTGTTTTTTTTGTAGCTGCTGTTTTTCTTCTTTTCATTTTTAGTGGTTTGTTCTGGGGGTTCGGTGGTGGTTTTTGTGGTTTCTCCGTTTCGTTTTCTTCTTATTTTTTCCAGGGGCGGTTGGGGTGTTTGTTGCATTTCTTTGTTTTCTTGCCTTTTTGTCGGGATGGTAGGTGGTTGGGTCGGCATGATGAAGTCATTGATTGCCACCGGATAGTCCAACGCACTCTTAGCAGCTTAGCGGGGCGGAAAGGTACAGCGCCATGATGCATCAAAGCTCGGAGAACAAAAAAACGATCGAGGTACCAGCGGGCCGTCAAAATGCACCAAGATATGGGATGGCAGGGAAGGAGAGATGGGCTGAGGCAGAATGGCTGGGAAGGACTTGTAGAGAAGGCCTTTTGCGACTTCAACGGGTGGTTGCGTCCATGGTTCATTCGGGCGAGTGCTGGGCATTCGGACATTCGGACTTTGCGATGTCATTTGCGCTATCACACCAGGTGGGGGACACGATAGCTGTGCATTTCATGTGATCTACCCTGAACTGCTCCCCAGCATAGTCAGCCGTGGCGGTGATGGCAAGACATCGTGACTCGCCGCTCATTTTGGCGCATACCCACCATGGGACAAGAAGAACATCGCCGCAAAACATCGCAGCTCAGAAACGACCCGTAGAGGAGGCCTATTTGTTTCTTTCATTGTCTCTTTTACTTTTTGTTTGCTCTTGGGTCTCTCTCTCTCTCTCTTTTTTTTTTTCTCTCTCTCTCTCTCTCTCTCCAGAGCCACGCAGAGACGATGAAGCTGATCTAGCGCGCTGCGTCGAACGTCTTGGACACACACTTGCGGGTGGCATTGCCATAAACCAACATCCGGCCAACTCATGGCTGGTATCGGAAGCAATGGCAGTGGTGTGTGAATACTCGGTGTTTTGCGTTGCTCTTGTTGTAGATGCTGCTCTTCCCAATTCGCCTGCCGCCCGTTGAATGGTCTGGGTGTAGACGCTGGTGGTGGTGCACGGCAAGGCTGAGTGCTAAGCCTAGCTCCGCTCCCTGGGCGCGGGGCCGGGGGCAAATTTGATTGGAGCCGAAGGCCCGGCGCGTGTAAGGCGACGCCATACCTTCAGTGTCAGCAGGTTCGAGAAAGAAGTCACAGCGGTAGCTGAACTAAGCACGCGATGCTCAAGCTGCCCTAGCCAGCTTGGCCTGACATGTTTCACCAATTGGCTACGATTATTTGGGAAAGAGAGAACATTACAATCTTAAGCAATCGTACACCATTCGTGGTCTGAGCCTGTGTTTGGGGGTATCGCGCGTGTTGGGGCATATAAAGTATGCGATATGTTCAGTCTGGGATGGTTTCAAAGCTGACTCAGGCAAAGGGGCTGTCAACTTTGAAAAACACTCACAGCATTTCGCGCCAGGAGGGAAGCAAAGTTCTTCGCCGAAGAAAGGCTGCGGAGGAGCCTGGGGAGTCGATTTCTTGGCCACAACACCCGTGGTAAAGACTCTTCTTTAGACCTCCCTTGTCAAGGCTGCATGGAACAACTGAAGAATATTTCACAGGACCTGACAGGTTCTGATTGCGCCAAAGGCAAAGGTCAATCACCTGTGTAGCATTTGAAAGGACCTCTGTTAGGTCCCATTTAGGGTGAGGGCAGAGTCACTTTCTGCCTGACAAGACTCGGACGGTGAGCTGAAATATGTGGTTGTGTCTTGTGTCGCACTTTTGAGCACCACTGGTAGCCCATGATAACATGCCGCCCGCATCACGATTGTGCGATTGCAACCTTCCCTCCAAAAGAAAAGTGGCCTTAGGAGTCTTCTTTGATTGGCGGCGTGCTGAAAAGCAAGATGTGAGCCAACACGGTCGTCGTGAGCGCGTCCTGTTGCTGCAGCATGGTTGTGAATTATTGAGCTAATAATCTTCGCATGATACGTCCAATGAGATTGTGAAATAATGACAGTAGTGGCAGTCGTCTGCTGGTTTGGGGAGGATATGGGACAACCCAAGCACCCAATTGTCGCACGTCCTACGAAGGAAACAAAAAACAGCAGTCAGGGGCTCATGTACCTCACTGTGACATCAAGATCAAGTGTAGCGAAACAACGCGAGGAGTTAGCCCAACTTGCTGTCCACACTTAGCCCGCATTAGCCAGCCAATTTGTTCATTGATTCATACCAATGAGCAGGCGGTCAACTCTGCAAATGATTTTGTTATTGCTTGTGAGTGATGCTGGAAGCTAAATTGAGCCCTGAGAAGACCGTGCTTTGTTTGTAGGGCTCCTGTACAGAAATCACAAGTCGAGCTTACTTTGAGGTCAGGTCCTTCCCAAGTTACAGACACACTTGGCTATGGGTCAAAACCCCGTAGTGAACATCCCAATCCCCACTAACATAGGTTCTAAAATGGGTGGTGAATTCACCTACCCCAAAATGGTACCATTGGTTTTGACCCACAGCCACTTCAAGAGAGCCTTATGCGCATCACCGTTCGGAGGACACCACATTTCCCATGAACACTGGCATGGAAGCTGAAGGACTAGGCCCCCCAGTACTGCCCTTTTACCGTTTCCTGAGGGTTGCCCTACTAAAATAGACTACAGAAAAAAGTTGGAACCCTTATTCTAACCTCTCTACTGGAGGACCTAGAGGATCTATCAAGGAGTGAGGATCGTTTCTTCCGCTTCCTTGGTCTGTCTGGAGCATGTCTGAAGATTGCTATACTTACTTGTATACAAGTACTTTGCGTCGGATGCGTTTTGCTCGGGCTACCCGTCTCGCTATCGCTATGCAGGAGGCGGAGGCTTTGGTGAAAAGAGTTCGGGGCCCCGGTGAGAGGGGCGTTATGTTCTGAGCGCGTGTTGTACTTTGGTGATACTACAACGTTTGCAAACAACATGGATTGTACATATTATATATCCTACATTCACATACATATTATGAATGAAGGTGGTCTATGTAGACAGAGCCACGAGCCATGCGAAGGTTCTGACCGTTAACGGTCCTCAGTTGGGCCCGGTGTGCCAAGGAGGAGTGCAAGGCAACAGTCAGCGACCTTGAGTCAAAACTGCCTCGATCATTCACGATGCTGTTTTAGTTGTTTGCCGTTTTGGTGTTCATTTGTCTTCTATTTCAACCAGCAGACACTCGGGGGGTAGTCGAAGTCTAGCCCACGAATTGCGCGATTCTTCTGACCTCCTTTGTCACCTCACTGACCCATTGGCCTAGGAGCAAAACATATGCCGTGTTTTTTGTCTACTACTGGAGATTCAGTCGGACAAAAGTGTAAGCTTCTTAGGATATTCCCAAAGACCCTATCCGGTCAACCACGGGTCGAATTAGCAAACGCATTCCGTGTGGCAGGCGTGGGACGCTCATTTATCGCACTTGCACATGTACAATAACAATGGCTTCCCAGCGTCCAAAATTGATCGCGCGAATCTGGGCCGGTCTCACCGCCTAGGATTCTGGGGGGAAACGGCTGTAGTCGCTTTAAATCCTTGAACAACTAGGTTTTGTTTGGCCAGTGCAACGTTGCTTATGGAATTGCTGAGTTGGAGGCATTTTCAGATTGTCCTTCTTTTAAGATTGCAGAAACGATTTCCCCATGTCTTTTCATGGGTGCGTGTATGCCATACCCCCGAAAATGCATATCTGAAACGGTTCAAACACGTGGCAAAATCAAACCCAAAGGTGACCAAAAAAAGCCAACGGTTGGGACCCGATTCACCGCAGCACTGGAATGCCACCAAAACAATCTGAAAGAACCAAAAAGGGCCGAACTACTTGCAGGTGCCCAACAAACCACCCTACCAAAGACAACCCCCCAATGTTTTTGATTCATTTGACCCTCTGTAGCCTTACAACATTCGCTTGAAACAAATTGCTGCCGCCTGAATTCGTTGCGTTTTAAAGCGCTTGGCAGTCCCGGCCTGCCAAGAGACGTCTCGCTAGGCAAAGAGAATGGCGCTGCCCAGCTTCTGGTTCAGTTGTGCTCCTTGGATCAAATTGGCTGTGGGTCAAAATAGGGTAACCCCAAAATGGCACCCTGGTAAATGGAAATGACTAAAACCTGTGGTCCCCTGGTGGTTTAATTTTGACCCATACCCAATTTCCGCAAGCGACGGATATAGCGACAGCTGCTTTGTGAGCAGAGGATCAATTTTGTTTGTGAACCAACCCTCGGGGTGGGGCTGGATGTCGGAAATACTGCTTGGGCTTGCATCTGCCCCCAAGAATGGTGGGCTCACCGATTCGGGCGGTGAAACAAGCCTCATAGTGAAGGTTCTTCACCGAAGGTAAGGTGATATACCCTACCCAGAAACACACTTCCCGAGTTCCAGCTCCTGGACATTTTACAGCTTTTGGGAAGATGACTTTATCTGTGGTAAACAACCATTTTGAACTGTTTTTGGCCCATCCACTCAGGACGTGTCAATATATAGTAGTTCATGTTTTGGTCCAAGCAAGAGTTGCACCTGTTCAGGGATCCCACGTGTTTGTTGTGGGTTTTTTCTTGGTCTGTGTTCAACTTCCTGGATTCACCTGGCAGAAATTGTTATGTTTCCAATGGAGGGTGCACTCCCAGAGACCGCTGCAGGACTTTGCCCTGCCCGCTCTTACCCAGTCCCTTCATTGTCAGTCCAACTTCAAACTTACCACACAACCAGTTGGTCAGCAAGTGCTTGGTTAGGCTGGTCCCCGGTTTCGTGCAGTTGAATTTAGTCCAACCTCAAACTCACACAGCCAGTTGGTCATCAAGTGCGAAAGGCTCCCCGTTTTTGTCCGCTGGCGCGCCTGTCGCCCCTTTGTGTTTTTTTTGCAGTTGAAGGTCCTTCTTGATCCAGCAACAAAGAAGGTGGTTTCTGCCCCAGAAGCTGCTGGACCAAGCCGCAAGCATCATGTGAGCAGCTCCCAACTCCGGGGTTTCTACAAATTACCATAGCTTGATGGTCATGACATTTCGACTAGGTCCCCGAGTTGTGCCCTTTTTACCCTTTTTTGGGGGGGTTCCCCTACTAAAACAGACTACAGGAAAAAGGGCACCCTTATTCTAACCTCTCTACTGGAGGACCTAGTCTATATGAGGCTCCGCAAGGTTTGTTCTTAACATTGAACTTGTGCGAGCGGCACATGTGTTCTCAACCACACTCAAGCCAGTATTGCACGCCGCTACTTCCAGACCTGAAATCGAAGAGGCGTACATCCGGACCCTTGGAGCGCACTTCTGAAGAACCCCTGCAGTTTTCTTGGAGTTTCTATTGTAGTTGTGTGTTCTTGTCTTGCCTTCTTGCATTGTATTCATTGCTTCCCTTTTCTTCCTTTTTCCCTCTTCTCTCCTCTTCTTGTCTCTCCTTCTCTTCTTTCTCTGCTCTCTGTCCTTTCTATCCTTTCCATGTTCGATGGGAACTCCACATCCAACAGTGAGCTTGTAAAATCTGGGTGAATCTCCAAATATAAAGCAAGCAAACCAACGGTACAACATGGTGAATTATGAATTGCAGGTCTTCCCAGAAATTTCCCGCTTGCCTTCGTGAAATCACCTCCAAAGAGGATTCGCATGTTGGGCCTAGCGGCCTTCAACCGCAAGGGAATCCTAGATCCCCTCAAGTGGTCGGAGCAAAGTTTCAGACTGGCTGGGGTCAGTTGCACCAAGTGCAATTTGGCCCCCTGCGGGCCACGGAAAGCAAATCAGCAACGGACCCAACAAAAACGCCACAAACAAGCCAAGCACAACTATACGTAGCAAACAAGAAGGCAAGACCGACAACATCAAGAGCACAAACAACCAAGCTAAAACAGCACCAACCCGACAAAAGACCACACACCACGCCAGCAGCAGGTGTCCCCCAGAAAAGACAACACGGGGGACAAAGATCCAGTCGATCCGAACGAAGGTTTCCGTGGCCACCTTCGAGCTTCTTGGCTGATGTGTTGTCCTTCTGGGAGAACAGGTAGATGTTCAGTGGCACCCTTTTTGCCTTTTTCTTAGTGGCTGCCCCACTAAAATTGGTCTTCCCAAAAAAGGGATCCCTTTTTTCCCAGGGTCACTGAACAACTGAGTACAAGTAGATATTCACCGTGGATCATGCGCTTGTGCTCCTTCGGATTAGGGGGAAGTGGGTTAGCTTGACGTGCTTAGGAAGGACAGGATGGATTCCAACTAGGTTGCAGGGTTTTGAACTGGTTGGAACAGATCACCAAGAGCGAGCGCAACCTTTTTCCTCGCCGCTTGTTCCGTTCAAAGCACAAGCGATGTAAAAAAGGCCATGTTTTTTTTGAAGGCAGCCGCCTCACTCACGGAGTGTTGATGGCCTTGGGCGGAGCGTATGGGGCTCGGATTGCGTGTCCTTGAGGCTCGCTAGCCTTTCCATGGGCGGCCTCGAGGGGTCAGGGGGGCTCCATCCTTGTGTCCATTTTTTCGAGGCAGCAGATGTAACGTCAGCTTCCATGTCCGAAGTTTGATGGGGGATGCACGTCGTTGTCATCCGAGGTGTGGTCCCAAGTAATATGTGGGGCAAGATAAATACGTAGGGTGTCTTCCATGGGACATGACTTGAATTGGATTTATAGTACCCAATAGGCCCCACCCTCCCATTCTTGAAACGGATTTGTAGTACCCCACAGCTCCACAGCCTCATTTTGATGATCTACAACTGACGGCTTTAAGTAATTTTCTAAAAGGCAACCAGGGGCCCAGGCACGCAGACACTAAGAAGCCTTGGGTTTAAGTTCTTTTGGGGTTAAAGTGGAACCTAGGCACGAATCCAAAGTCTTGAACTTAATTAAACTTGGCCTGAGAATCCCAAACGCCCATGCTTACAACGAGGTGTTTCTAGTTGTTTTCTACTGAGTCCCTTTGCGTTGCAGGTGGGGTTCTCAGAATTTTACTCGTAGTGTTGCACGTGGATGAAGAGCTCTGACGGCTCCAAGTATGTATGGAATCCTAGAACATTGGTGTAATCTGAGCACGGCTTTGCCGCTTGCCTTTCTGTTGTGAAGGAAGTGAAGGGGGGGCTTCCAACTGGTTGGGCCTGGGATTTGAGTTCGCCCTTCAATATCGCCCCAAAGGAAATTGGCCCAACAGGTGATGTGTTGAACCCACTCTTTTACAGTGCAAGAGGGCATCCTGTCCAAAAAATGGTGGTCGAAGGCGAACAGCCCGCCGGAATTTCAGGTGGTTTCCTTCCATTTGATAGCTGGGCCTTCCAATTGATGCTGGGCATGGCTCCATTAGCTGGGCTGGTGGCATTGGCTCTTGGAGCTAGGAAAATGCTGTATAATAATCCCCATTTTGCTGGCCCAGACGAAAAACGGGAAAACTCATCTCCCCCCCCCCAAAAAAAAAACGGGGGGGGGGGGGGAAACGAAATACATCCGCAGCCCTAGGTACTTGATGGAGCTGCAGGGCCCTGCGCGTCTGCTGCTCCCCACCTGCGCCACGGCCGGGCCCCGAGCCGCCTGAAACGCGAGAGGCGGTTTTGGTTGCACGAGGCGTCTGAAACACCGAGCCCAACGAAGACGGAATAGAACCAAGGGTCGACCATATGAATCAGAAGGTGGGGGAGGGAGAATAGCGTGCACCCCGGATTCAAACTTGGACTTCCTCTCAAGCGGGCTGCATTTCGGCTGAGAATGAAGCTGAGGATGATTGTTCACATGGAGAGTTTAGCTAGCACCACCAGAAATGGGAGCCTCGGCTCAATGAATTCTGCCGTAGGGCAGAGCACTTCTGTGTTCCATTGTTTCTTGGTTTTATAGACATAAGTTGTTTTTTTTCAACTTGACCATAAGCGATTTGCTTGGCAGAAATTGATCTATGGAGGGTGCAAGCAGAATAAGGCTCTCTCTTGCCTCCTCCCACTCCAGCTATTGCATTCCACCAGTCACCACAGGAGCTAGAGAACCTATCCCTGATGATGTCGAAATTTACTGTTGGGCACTTACAGGTGTCCTGGCTCACCGCTCACATTTCCTCACCTACTGGCCATATGAGTAGTGTGGCCATGTTACCAGTGATTTGCACTTAATTCATCATCATCAAACGGGGAGAACACCTTCATGTCCAGCCCCCAACATGAGCTACCCGCAATCCATGGCCAATGGAAAGGTTCAATCCGCAAGCTGAGGTAGCAGCTTGGTAGCCTATGGCAAGTGCATTGCGCTCACAAGGAAGTGGGGAAGGAGCCTCATCACCACAACTCGCATTGGCTTTCATTCCACCGGCCCTTTGCGAGCTACGAACATACAAAGTAGAAATCCCAGATGCGGGCTGGTTCCATTAACTGTCTCTTATCATCCCAAAAACATTTCTGGCAACTAGGGGTAGTGACCTATGGTTGGTTCAGTCATTTAAGCTGGTAGGAACTTTGGGCCCCTCATCCCCACAGGATGGGGAGCTCCATCAAGATTCGCCAAGCTCTCACCCCATTCAGAATTTCAACAGGCAGGCCAGCCCACAAACTAATTGTGTCGCTACATCTCTGTATGTTGGCAAGTCATTGGGTTCCCTTTGGTTTTTTTTGCTGATTGTTTGGGGTGACAAGCTCTGACACTTCTCTGAAGACCTTACGCAGTTCAAACTAAGTACACATGAAACACAATGGGTTCACATTTTTTGTTCGGCGTTCAAATTGGTCGTTCCGCTCTTATTTATTAGTTAATCCATAGGCGCAAAAGGCATCTAGTTTGCCTACTTTATTGCGAGCTCGCCTGGGGGTAAAACGAGTTCACCGTAGTAAAGATCCTTTCCTCGGGGATCCCTTGATTCAGCTTTTGGAAGTATAGCAAGATTTACAGATATAGTTCTTGTTTGGAGGATTCCACCCATTCCAGTCGCAGATCTCTTCACTCTCCTCAGCGCGTTTATTTCGCCGAGGCGTTTGAGCTCGGAGTGCCAGTGGTGATGGTACTTTTTCTCATCATGCAGCAGACGGATCCCGGCAAGGCCTGGCAAGACCGAAAAGTCACTTGCCCAAAGCGAATCAACCTGTTGACAGTTTGGTTTTCCGGTGTTGGTCCCAAAGTCGAGGTTTCAAAAGAAGCGCCTTTTATTTACAGGCCCGTTGGAGAAGAGAGAATAGACCTTGCATGGTAGGCTGGGTGGGAGGTCTTCTAATATTTCACTGTCTAGCGTGTGAGCCAAAGAACAAGTTGAAAGCTTACTGTGGATGAAAAAAAACCTGCACGAGTTGGTAAGGGCTTTGTTCATCCCAACTGATACGAACATGGTTTTGTCCATTTGCAGTCAAACAATTGCAAGCAACCATTCCAATTGCTGATGTTTTCAGGCGATATGCGAACTGAGACAAGCGATTCCGACTTTCAGGATGCAGGTTTCTCGCTGGCCCTGTTTGTGAATGCCATGAATGTGTGCACATGCGTGTCAGGAGAAGGAGGGTCACTAAGGCAGCCCATCCAACACTATACTGGAAAGGGGTTATTCACGACTCTACATTGAGGCCAGCATGCAAAAAAAACCAGGGGTTGGAGGTTGGGACCATCCCCAGTTCAACTCATGAGGAAAGGTCACGCAGGTGCGCTTAAAAAGTCGTGACCGGGTGTTTGTAACCTTCAGAGAGTGACAGTGTGACACACGAACTTCCCAAAGGCCTATTCTTTCCAGATCCTTTGGGTGCGTGAGCGGAAGAATCTATTTATGTTGGAAATGGAGATAAAGAGTGGAGAAGAAGAAATACATGGAATGGGCAGAGAAGCTGTTATAGTAGGAATATTATCTGGTATATTGAATATATGAATTATCAGAGTTACATTTATTTATCCAATCGATAGATCACCAATAATAATATATTATCGAACAGTAGGAGTTTTATGTGGTATATAAATAGTAGAAAGATTAATGGAAATCGTTAATATCAAAATAATATTAATATTGGAGTAGCAAGAACAGTAGTGATTTGATGTAGAATAGAAATATAATATTGATTATAAGACAAAGGATACGGATAAATAATAAAACGGAAGCTAAAGACGAACAGTGTTTTTTTTTGTAAGGCACTAGTATTGAAAACGCCATCCACCCGATCGACTACACCTACATCGTTTCCATTGATTAACGAGGATCATAGGTGCAGAAGCATAAGGCGGGATGGGGAAAACAAAACCAAGTGAACCATGCGCATCGACTTACTGGTCACATAGTTCTGACTACCACGCCGAGGTACATAAACCTAGCGATTCATTCGATTTGAAGCTTAGATCAATCATTATTACTACATCTCGTGGAAATGTAAAAAAGGCTGTTGAATTATTAAAGCATGAATTCGTCTTCAAAAGTAATCATTGTAATAATGCCTGTTCTTCCCTAAAACATCCTTTCTAAAAAAAGGTAGTTAATGCAGGAAATATAATTGAAGGAACAATAATTAATGTGTTAGTGGATGAAGGAATAGTCTCTTCTTTGACGATATCTTTTGTTAGTAGCAAAACATCTAATTGAAGTATTTTGGCTAATCTTATTCAAAGCTGTGTGGTTCTCTCCATTCGACATGTTAAATATCGATTAGATGGAAACGGGGTAAAGAAGAATAATAAATATAATTTATGCATACATAAATATTAATTTCAGCTATATTATTCATCTCTCTTCCTCTCTTTGGCGTACTCATTGGATCAGGCTCTTATTACCATCAGTTTTTGGTCTCAGCGGAAATGTAACTAATTCATTACTAATACATCTATTTGGTCTCAGCGGAAATCATCCGAAGTGAACATTGAATTAAGGCTGAAAACATAGGTGCTGATGCAGAAGGAGAATTAGGTCGTCTCTATCTCACCAAGAATTCAAATGGATTGTATAGTCTTAGTCTTTATTCATCGCCGCGAATCTTGTAGGTCGCCATGAACAGTTTAGGTTTAGAATATCTATTTTGAAAAAGTAGTCCTTTTGAACAAAGCTGCGCGGCTCGCTCACATCGAATCACTAATATTGCAATAACAGTAAAAATTGCTACAGCCGAACCAGTTGTTTTATTTAGAGCTAATTGATAATCATGGCAATAGGAAAGAAAGTTGGTTCTTATATTGAGCACCTCGTTTAGTTATTCTGTTTGTTCTTTGAATCCCAATCCTAGGTGCTCATACAAAACTGCCTGTTTAAAACAAAAAGTATCATTGGTTCTCTCTCATGGAAATGTTCCTTCTTTTTTGAATTCCTCGTCCTGTTGGTCTACAACAGGAAAAACATATTTATTGTTAGCAATATTACCTCCTTTTAGTGGATTGTCGTAGCTGAAGGAAAGGCCATTAATACACTAAAGCCTATTTTTACAGCTACGACCTTAGCTCAATGAATTGTGAAAAGCTCATTCTTTGTTAACAGCTAATCAATGTTTATCCTTGAATGAGTGATGCCCACCCCAGAATGCTAGCAATTTAGACTCATGCCCACGCGGAATCTAGATGTTGGCAAAGGGGACAAACCTAATTGTGTTTGTCCAACCCTGCTGGTTTCGAGTCAACAGCAGTTGGGCCCTTTCCTTTCTTTTTCTTCTTCTTCTTCTCGGAGGGTTCCCGTGTTGCAGGTTGCCAGAGCCAAAAGGAAGCTGCCCCAACGCAGCCAGGTACCGAGGCGAGTGAAGGGATCCTCAGCGGTGGAGGAGCTCTTCTGGGGAGAGGGCTGGGTTTCTCTCCCACTGCGTGGAGTTTATCAAGGCCCCGCTTTTTGCTTTTGATGTCCAAGGGAACCAAAGGAAAAGCCGGAGCTTTTTGGGGGTCCTAGAGGTATGATACATGCCCTGAAGGGTGGGCTAGTCGGCTAATGTCCGTCCCCGCTTGCTTGTGGCACGTGGTACAAATGCCGTGATCGTAGGACACCTCGTCGGAAAATCCCTTCAACACTTTCCACGATTTCGGGACCGTAGATGGCACTTTGTCCCCGAAGGCGGTTTACTCGTTACCTGTTTCAGAGGGAAACCCGGCTTGGTTTGATGGAGAAAATGGGAGCAGTTGAGGCACCCTGTTGGGCTTATGCGGCCGTCTTGTTGTTGGCTTCGGAAGGTCCAACTCAGCTTCCCCACAGCAACACCAGTGACCGAAATCGGGCCAATCGCGCCCCACGGATGTCCTTTAACTTACCCTGCAAATGCCGAGTTCGCTAGGAATGTCCTTAAGGATTGGTTGGATTTGATCATTTGGCCTGGGATGGTGTCAGTTTGTTCCCGAGGGTCGCGCATGCTGCTCTGTCGGCAACGCAAAGTGACTTAGAGAAAGTGAGTCAAAGCAGGAAATATGGAGATACCAAAGCAGCACAGAATCCCTCCTTTGGACCAAATGAGCAGCGCCAGAAACCCTGACAATACAAAGTAGTAAAGGGGGGTGTCTTATAGAATCCCCGCGAAAGCCAAAATGCTGGCCGCGAAAGCTTGCGAAAGCTTATCGCGAAAGTAACCAAAGAAGGTCCTGCTGCGAAAGACCCGCGAAAGCCTGCATGCTGTGTGACGCTCCGCCGCGAAAGCGTCGCGAAAGCAATTCTAAAGAAACCAAAGCCCGCGAAAGCAAAACATGGGGTCGCGAAAGCATCGCGAAAGGGTCCGCGAAAGCAAGTTTATAGGACCGCTTTTTACACAAGAGTATTTGGCACGGCTCAAATGCTTACCGGGGTCCATGTTGCTTGATTCTGCAAATGGACGATCTTCTCACTTCCGGCTTAATGTCCCAACTGCCCTGCCGCAGAAATGAGAAAGCGGCAACCGTTGGGGGTTGCCATGTGGCCCCCCTGTGTGGAACCATGTCGGATCATGCCACCGTTGAAGGGGGCGTCCCACACGCGGGTCGCCGATGAAAATGGGAGCAAACCACTTCAAGCGTTTGGAAGGGTCGACTCCAGGCCTCGGCAGATCAAGGAGCCGAAGCCGACAGGCTGTGCAGAGCAAGGCACCATGTCAAGACCACGTCAAGACCACTGAACACACACACACACACACACACACGCAGAGAAGCCTTGAGGGAAGAGGCGCCAGTGTACCCTCACACCAAAGGCCTCGGGCCGGTTTCTGATTTTTTTGCCAAAGAAGCGTGATCAAGTTCGGTGATGTTTGCTGATCAACTCTCTGCCATTAAACAGCTAGAGCTAAGCGTCACGTTTGTCAGCTCTGTGGTCATTTAAAAGCTGGAGCTGTCAACTTATGATCAATTCCTTTGAAGAAACGGCACCACTTCCCGGGCGTTTTGCGCCACCCGTGCATGGCACAGCACCAAAAAGTCGCCGCCCGCCCGCCGAAGCCTCAGCTGGGCGATGAGGGGCACGGGCGATCTGGGTGGTTGGGTGGTTCCTGCACAAGTCGCGGGCGGAGAGGGGCCTTGAAAGGACAACCAAAATGAGAGGTTTCAACTGGGGAGAGGTCAACTTCGGCTTGAGCAGCCAGATTGCGGTCTAGGGAGAAGCCAAAACGAGGCTCCCAGGTTTGCACATGTGCACTTTGGAGCGTTTCGTGGGCCTGAGGAGTAGACCGGCTGCTTTTTGTAATAGGATCCTTGGATAGGATGTGGGAGCACGGCTCGAATTGTGCTGCGCAAAAGTTGAGCGAGATCTCATCAGGCAAGTCACTTGTTTGAGGATTCCCTATATCCGTGCGGGTTGGACTGATATCCAGGTTTGAAGACTTCTCCCTTGCAAGGAAAAACACTGATTGAGTAGTCACAGTGTTTGCATTGCTTCCAGATGCTTGCTGGCTGCGCATGTTTTGCACGGGTTCGGCCCGCTCAACCTGGTTCACGCAATGTTGGTACATCTCTAAAGAATCATGGTGCCCCCACGAGAGGTTGCGCATCAATTCCCACTCATTATTTGCAGGCATCCTTCTTTCCAGGACAAATTGCACAGACAGTTCGATGGAATCTTTCGGGCTTCTCATTTGTTTTTGGGAGAAAGGGGCAATTCCCATTTGTTCTCATGTCAAAGAGCCCCCCTGCAGGTGTTGAGCCATTTTCTGCAAGGACCCCCGGAGCAACACGGAAAAACAGGTTTCCGTTGTGCCAGGTTTGGGCCCAAGTGACTCGAAGTTGCCACCTCAACTTCTTGAATTTGAGCTATCGGTTGACACTTCAACAGGGAAATCGCCGGCAGTTTCGGGCAGAAGCAAATAGCCCGATTCGGATGCGCCGAGAGGGTGTGCGCAAGCAGTAAAACCGAAACCGCCCGGGGGAGGACTCCGTTTGTGCGCTCCCCCGTTGAGGGCCGCCTAACACCACCTTTCAAACGGAAACAGTCAGAGTTCTTCTTGTTCCATATGCCCCTGGTGCAGAGCCATATGTCTTAAACGGGTTTCCTGGGGTACCAGGGAGGTTCCGCCGCTACTGTCCTCGTGATGATTACTGACTGTAGCCCCAGCCCAAACATAGCTCAACATGGCAGTTTCCGTGAAAGAACATGACGCAGCAGGAGTCAACCTACGAAAAAGGCTGGTGCTGGTTCGGTCTCCTAATGCAACTGAGGTTGGCGACCCCCGGGAACTTCGTTGGTTTAGATTTTGGAATCTGTCCCCACTTGCCCAGTGGCGCCCTTTTTCCTCTTTTTTTTGGGAAGGGTTCCCCTTTAAACTCAACCAACCAAAAAAGGATTCCCTTTTTCCCCGTTGCCACTGGGCATCTGAGGGTCTGAACTTGGCCAGTTCTGATTTAGTTGAGTTGCTGCAGGGAGGCGGGGAGACAAATACATCAACAATGTCTAGACACAAATCCCATTTATTGATTTTAATGGGATGCATATATGACTTGAGGGAGGGATAAGTGACTAGTGGCCGAAGTAGAGAAATGACAAATTTGACTTGCCACTGGTGGTAGAACCAAGGGGAAGTGTACCAGGTGCACTGGTTGAGTTTTTTGCACGGCCGGTGTGTAGCTTCCTATGAGGCACCAGTCGTCAGCCTTGGCACCTGCGCTTGACACTCTGGTCGGTCGAAGTGCTCTTTGATGAGTTCTGTGAAGAACAACCCAGCCCGCTCCAATGATGCTGCCTTTTTTTCTCGCCCTTTTCGTCAGGTTGGCTTCAGTTGGTAGGATTGCTCTGGCTTTGAGCTTCTGGTTCTTGTGAACTGGGGGCTCCCACCGGCCTTCCGCCTTCCGAGCCAAGACTTGGCGGTCGAGTGTTTGGAGCCCAGGTGAGCTATGACAGCACTCTTCCCCTGGTGCTGCAAGCCATGGACGGCAGAGAAGGCGCCGCTGATCTGTTGAGCCACAGAGGAGCAGCGGACCGGACGCGCGAGATGGCTTTCAGTGAGCCGTTTGAAACTCGTTTTTTCTTTTTTTTGCACCAAGGTGACAAGAACGCTGAAAGAAAAGCCACACGCCCAGAAGCAAGGAGCCTGCGTCATTTGTCCGGACGCCACTTCCCTACTACTGTCACTGCATCATTTTTGGACGGCGCTCTTCCCGCTCAAGCTGCCAGGATTTCCTATAGCTTGCCCCCCTCCCCCTCGCTGCCCTGGACCTCCCTGGATCCAGTGCAAAGCTCAAACACTTTGTCGTTGGAAGTTCAGGGGACATCTCAGGGGTTGATTTCGCCTCCGTCCAGGGAGCGTTCAGGGTCCCGAAACTCCATCCAAACATGGGTGCGCCAGAAAGAGAACCCCCAGGTTCAGGGCGGCGACCATCAAGTACTTGGGCTTGTGAAGCCCATCTCTCTTTGAACCAACCAACCGGGAAGCTAGTCTCTAGCCTGCAAACCACCAACCCAAACCATCAGGAGGAAAGCAACATATGTGCGGGTCACACGCTGCATGGCAGGCAAGCGCAGACTCTGCTACCGAGTGCGCCAGTCGCTGCGTGATGCCTCGGGGTAAACAACCCTGCCCTGGTGTTGTGTTTTGTGCGGGGCTTCGCAACATGTTGTATCCATGAGTCGACCAAGAACAATGGTCTTGCCGGGATGAGAGGAACATGACCGCGTTGAGTAGTGCCCTGTCTTTAGAAGCACCTGCATAGAAGGGACACCACAAAGGAGCTTGCCTTTACAGTGGTGTTGCTTCCGACTTTCTTGAATGGGATAAATAAAGGGCGTGACATAGGTGTAGACATCGATCTACGTATTTCATTGATACATGTAGATATGTATGCATGCCCGCAACTATGTCACTATAGCATGTTTCTTTCGAGACAAAAATGTAGTTTGTTGGTTTTCTCGCGTTGTTTGTGTTTCGCTTGCAAACCAAGACATCGAGACGCACAACAAAAGCGGGAAAGGCACAACAAAAAACAACAAGAACAAATATCGTAACCCTGCGAGGGGGTCAGGGGTTTTACCATTCAACCTTGTAGAGTCGTATGTCGTCTATCAAAAGCAAGTTCCGCGAATCACAAAGCAGCAGCTAGCTTCTTCTATGAAACATCCGTTCACCATTTGGCAGGCGTGCGCACACTGCGAAAGGCGCGCATTGATAGCATTTGGCAGGCGTGTGAGCAGTGCTCAGCGGATACGCATGAGCGGGTGTGCTTGGCGACCTGCTGTTCGGGTGCACTTGAGTGGGCGCGCTTACGAGTTGGCAGCCTTGCGCGTGCAGTGCTGAGCGGGCACGCTTGAGCGGGGGCGCGTACTCTTTGGCAGGTATGTGCGTGTGTGCCTTTCCTTTATCTTCCCCAATTTCGGGAGAGGTGGTCTGGTGCAAAAGCACACAGAAAAGCGCGCTCAGGGCCCCCTGTTCTGAACATCCTTTGGCAGTGGCCACAAAGAAGGAAAATAAGTGTTTGCTTTTCAGCCTCAAGTTTCAGGAGTTGCTCAAATGTGTTCGGCCTCCTAGGCGGAGCGCACCCCAACCCTGCAAACAAGCATAGCGGTAGAGCGGTAAAACGCGCTGCTTGGATGTTCGGCAGCTGTGTCTTGTTCCCCGGCTCTGCAATCTAGGGTGCAACGGCCCCCCCAAACTCATGCGGGAATACCGTGGATGGAAAACGCTCTTGCACCAGTCGGGATGGATGAAGCCCTGCGAATAGTGGGATAAGCCACCAATCCCACCTAGGTCCCCCAGTACTGCCCTTTGCCATTTTTCGGGGGAGGGTTCCCCTAATAAAATCGACTACGGAAAAAAATCGGGCACCCTTATTCTAACCTCTCTACTGGAGGGCCTAGCCACTGAAGCTGGCTCCGTCCATTGCTCAAGCCCTCAGCTCGACTCTTTGGCTCACCAGGTACGTGCGCTCCCTGCCACTAAGCTCCTCCGGGCACTTCCCAGCCCCTCGCTGATCTTTCGTTGGAAACGGAAGAAGCGCGAAGAGCATGGCCCCTGTCAAACATGGAGCCCAAAAGGGCCCCCCAAGAAGGAGGTTTCCCTACAAATGATATGATTCTTGGGGTTCCAGGTCAGGCTGCAGGGAAGTAGGCGTTCTTTTCCGGGTGTGATCCGTAGCCCATAAGATATGTCTAAGAAGTGCCGAAAAGGAAAGTATGCTGAGATGTTCGATTTTCCAGACCCTCGATTCGACGCCCATGTTTAGTTCCGCCAACCTTTCGCCCACAAAACTTGAATAGTTGTGGGTTCCCTCCAAAACAAGCACCTAAATCATAGATTTCATCATGGCCGGCACCTGAAAGAGAAACCAACTCCCTGCTTTCGATTTTTAGGGGCTCCAATTCCAATATTGAATCTAGGGCCCACCCCAGCACACCCCATTTATGGCACACAAAAAGTCTGAGCTTGCAAGTTTCAGAGAACCAGTAGCAGCGTAGGTGCCCTCCATCAAGATGTTTTGTTGTGGTGGGCAAGTGGTCGTCTGCCTTCACAATTCTTCAATGCCCGAAAGCCATTGCTCTCGGCTCACTTGTTCATGAATAGGTTGCAAGCCAGCTGCCCAGCGGCACACTTCTTTGGGGGGGAGAGGAAGGGTTTCGCTTTCAAATTAACCGACTATCAATGTCGAGGTGTTTCCTCATGGCCACTGCGCTGTAAATCACAGCAACCCCAAAGAAGCAGTACGGCGCCCCTATCATACCAAGAGGATGCAACTGGAGTTGATGTTTTCCCCTGCAAGTTCGCTGCAAAGGCTTTGGCTCCTTGGCAAGGGTAGGTCGATGTGAATCAATGTGCCAAGAGTTGGACCAATATTTGTGATCAGGGCATGTATACGTGTGTATAATATGTACACCGTGTATATTGTTAACACCAGGAATGCTTCCAAGTGGCTTGAGTTCGTAGAGACAGTTACTTGTTTCTTTGAGCACATGGTCGTAAAAACTCTCAACCATGTCGTGCTTCGGACCAAAAGGCAAAGGGATTTGGGTGCAACTCATTTGGCAATATGACAATATGTTAATCTTCGAGTGCCCGCCATGTCTTGGCAGCACTTTCAATCGAGTCTTTTACCTTTGACAGACAACCGCACGCACGCACAACTGTTTTACTTCTCAAACTATTATTGCACTGGGGTTGTCTTGCAGATTTACTTGATCGATTCAAAATCCTCTACCAGGTAAGATACCGAGAAACACGTGGATGGTTAAGAGCGCCAAACACGCAGGAGTCTTTGGGACAATTCTCCATGAGCCTCTGATGGGTGTGGAACTGATGTCAATGTGGCTTTCTTTTGTTTCAAGCCCAACCCATGAATCACTCCATATTTTAGGGGTGTGTTGCTTTCAAGTCAGTTTTCAGTCACAATAGGTGGCACACATTGGTTCTAATCACGAATCATGTGCCAGTGATGGGCACAACAAATCGAGACCCTGCAGGAGTTTCTAGGGGTATTGTTGGTAAGCCATTTGATGCCAACAAACCACCCAGACACAAGTTCCTTTGGGCCTCCCCGCCGACCAAACAAAACGGCCCGCGAAAACTCCACCGAGGTCTTTTCTGTGCAGGAGCGCTACCCAGAGGATGTGCAGGTGCGCGCGCGTTGTTGGGACGTTTTGGAGATCCGGATTCGTTTTTGGTCGATTTGGTGCTAGGTCCCCCAGTAGTGCCCTTTTATCGTTTCTTTTTTGGGTGAGGAGTCCCCTACTAAGATAGACTACAGAAAAAAAACGGTACCCTTATTCTAACCTCTCTACTGGAGGACTTAGTTGGGTTTGTCTTCTTTTGAGGGTGTTTCTTCACACCCCATCGGGCTTTTTGCTTTGGATTCAGTAGTATTTGCTTTGGGTTCCCAAGGGGGGGGTTGAAAGGGAGGCCAAAGGGAAAGCTTCCTTATGTCGTGTCAAACCTATTTCCTTCATGTTTTTACGAGCGGGTTCCTCAGGTTTTGAGACAAATGACGCGGAAGCTAGGGAGACTGGGATGGAATTGGGATACCTGCTACTTGTTGAGGCTCAACATGAAGCAACCACCTAGGACACACATGACATGTGCAAGTAGTATGTGTACTACATCCTCTATCGAGCCTGCCATCATCTCATGGAGAGGGGAAGGTTCTGGCAAGAAGGTCGTGTTCCATCAGATTCTATCCTTTTGGTACTGGATCTGAGGTGCGACACCTTGATTTGTGATGCTCCTTTGGATTTCCTCGGAGGCTTTACGCAGGAAAGTGGCAGGCACAGGGGAATCGAAGGGGGCTCACAGGGAAACAAATCCTCTAAAGTTCCAACTTGGGTCCATTTCTCTCTTCCGTTCCGATTTACTTTTTGGCTGCCATCATTGTGGTGAGGAACATGTGGCGGCAACAGATGTGTCAATCGTCCATCAAACAATCACGACGTTGGTGCACACCTGAGGCTGAAAGCTGACGATCGGGCCGTGCAATCTCAGAAAGTCATAAGCTAGGGAGCCCGTTTTGGATGCGGGTTATCCAGAGGCCTTAGGATATGTTTCGGACCCCAAAGGAAGCCACACATCTTTTCAGGATCCTTTCATTGAGTTGGAAGGCAGCGTTTCATTAGACAGCGTGAGAAGACAGCCAAGTAACAGAGGCCGGGTGTTTCAACGTGCCGAGGCCTTGCATTTGCTTAAGAGTATGTTTTATTCCCCCCTGTTGGTTTTGAAGGGGATCTATCACTAGACATATGTTCATTTGGCTTAAGCAAATGGAAGAAGCTCCGCCAGCAGAACAAGTTTTGGCATACAGATCGTTCAGTCGCTCTCCGTGCCTGTCAGGCACCCTCACACAGCCGGACGCTGGAGCCCTGCAGGCGCGATGTCACGTCCTCCCGAGTTGAGGAGGCGTCCGAGCATTGTCGAGTGGCAGCTTTAGGAAGTTGGACCTCGCCAGGACCTGTTGAGGAAAATGAGCTGGCTGTGGGTCAAAACCAATGGTACCATTTTGGGGTAGGTGAATTCACCACCCATTTTAGAACCTATTTTAGTGGTTGGATTGGGATGTTCACGGGGGGTACGATTTGGCTTTTGACCCATGGCCCCACAGCCACATTCCCCGCTGAGCAGCCAGCGAATTCGACGACGCGTCGCGTTTTGAGGGCCGGCATGGCCGCACGGTCCATGGCGCCCAACGCGGACGTCTTGGAGAAGGCGACGCTGGTCCGAAGGAAACGGGTGTGTGTGCGTGTGTGTGTTTTGTGGTTGTTTTTTGTGTTTTTTTTTCTTTGGATGGGGTGTGTTTGTGTGTTTTGCGTTGTTGTTGTTGTTGTTTGTTTGTTTTTTTGGGGGGAGGGGTGTGTGCGTGGGTGGGTGGGTGGGTGGTGGGTGGTGGTGGGTGGGTGGGTGGGTGGGTGGGTGGGTGGGGTGGGTGGGTGGGTGGGTGGGTGGGTGGGTGTGTGTGTGTGGGTGCGTGCGCGTGCGTGCGTGCGTGCGTGCGTGCGTGCGTGCGTGCGTGCGTGGGTGGGTGGGTGGGTGGGTGGGTGCGTGCGTGTGTGCGTGTGTGTGCGTGCGTGCGTGCGTGCGTGCGTGCGTGGGTGGGTGGGTGGGTGGGTGGGTGCGTGCGTGTGTGCGTGGGTGTGTGTGTGTGTGGGTGTGCGTGTGTGTGTGTGTGTGTTGTGTGTGTGTGTGTGTGTTTTGTTTCGCTTGTGTCTGTTTTTTTTTGGGAGGGGGGGCAAGTTTAGTTTTTGGGGTGCGGGTGTTTTGTTGGGGGTATTTTTGATGGTGGTTGCTGTTTCAGTTTGGTTGGTTGCCCTTGGGCTCCGTGCTCGGTAATTGCTTGTGATTCTCTGAGGTTTATCCCCCTTCGTCCTTGGGTTCTCGTCATGCTTGTCCCGGCGGTTCTTCGATGTGGAGTTACGTTTGTTCGGTTCCGGTTGGCAGCTTATATAGTTTTCTATGGTGCTGCGTTTGGCAAGAGTGAGTTTTGTTGGGTGGGCGTTGTACTTGACGTGCTTGTCTTCTTTGGTTGCGATTTTGGTGTTTTGGTTCTGATTTGGCTTCGCGGGCCGGTGCGCGTCTTTTTGGGGCGTGGGCTTGGTCCTTTTGGTGGCTGGGCCGGTCCTTGGCGCGGGGGCAAAGCTGGCCAGCGAGGTGTGTCTAATCAATATGAACAGTGTGTGTGTGTGTGTGTTGTTTTGCCGGATATTTTTTGGAAGGGGCCAAACAAATACGTGTTGTTTGACATGTTTTTGCGTTCAATGCGTTTGTTGGAGTTGTGGTATGTTATGTTGGTCACGTTCTGCTAGGCATAGGTGTTAGTTGTTGGGTGTGTGGGTGTGGGCGGTCCGTGAGGGTTCATCAGCTTGTGAGTTTTGTTTTGTTCAAAGCGAACTGAAGTTTTGAATTTGCTGCGTACATACATACTCGACTGCTATTGGGTTGGATCTTTAGACTTGAACTTTTTGGGAAATAAAGGTGTTTTCCACTAAACCCCCAAAAAGTTAAACTTTTTGTTGGGGGGTCAACAGCAACCAAGCATATATATATATATATATATAAGCAGTGTTGGGCTGATCGGGTTTATCTATTCATTGTCCTACAGATGTTCCAGAAGGCAACAGGATTGGGGGGTGGCGTCAGGATGAACATCTTTAGTGCCTTTTCAGGTTACAAAGGTCATGTCTCTGTTCCGAGTTGAAGAAACTTTCGAGCTTTCATGGTTCAATTCAGTGGGGGCAGGAACCCAAAAGGATTGGTTTGTTTCGACGGTGAGTCCCAAGCTGTGCAACTGGAGCCCGCTTTGAGTCTGCAAATCTTCAACAGGGTAAGCTCCCAGTTGTGTTCCTTCTCTTCTTTTCCCACTCAGGTTGCTGCCTGAATCGGGCAGAGGCATAGGTCCTTGTATGTGGTGACTAAATATATTTTTTATATGAGTCTTGTATGTGGTGACAATTCATCAAAAATCATAGGATTCATGAGTGCCGTGTGGTTTCAAAGTACCCAGCAACATCTCATTTGGCGGCTTCCGGCCATCCGGTTCCTTCTTTCAATTTCTACTGTAGCGGTTTAGTTGGTTGAGTGATTGGGTTTCGTGGGGGTTTAGTGGTTGGGTTTCCATTTGACCCACTAAACTTCACTAAACCCCCACGAGAGTTGGTTTGAACCACTTTCCATTTGACCCAACCAAATCACTGTTTCCCATTGAGTTTCCATTTCAAGGAAGAAGCCACTTTCCCACTACGAACCCACCAGCCCAGCCCCACGAAAGTTAGTTTGAATTATTTCGCCCTGACGGATCTGAGTTGACGGACACTTTTGAGAGTCGTGGCTGGCTTCTGATGGCTCCAGGCGCGGCTGCAGCGCGCAGTGAAGAACTTCGCGCAGGCCGGTGGTAACGCGGATCCCGACACCGGAGCGAAAACCGGTACTCTATGGACGAAGCCAAGAAGACACCCTGGTCCATGGCGCCTTTTTTGTGTTTCGAAAGGAAAACACACCTGGAAGTTTTTTAATTGATGCAGCTGGTCCATTCGAGGGGACTTTGGCTGGACATTGATGGATTCCACTGGTTTCAGTATTGTTCCAATGGTTTACCAGTCAAATCTGCTGTGCCAAACGGGCACCTGCGAAAGCTGTGGGGTTGATATGCCAGCCCTCTTTGTGCAAGTTCTGGGTTATTTCAAAGGGGATCCTCTAAAAAGGATGGTTTTGTGGGTTCCATGCCAATCTGGGATCTACGCCAGACGTTAACTAATGGGGGATTGTTTGGTGGAATACTGCTCTCCTGCGCATGTCCATAAACCTATGGATTGTTGGCAGAAACAAGGGCGTCCATGTTGGTCCAACGGTCCGGTCCGTTTACCCTCTGCCTTTGGGGTGCCATTGTTCCGCAAGCCGGGCCCCTCGCCGGCCTCAAACCTCCCAAGTCTGCGAGGTGGTCACGCAGGGCATGGCAGTGGAGCTTTTGGACGAGGACAGCAGCTGTTGCCGCGGGCCTGAAGATCCAAAGGCATGGAGTGCCGTCGGGGCTACTTTGGGCCGTTTTTGTGGTGTGTATGGTGGTTTCATGGAACATGGAGGATCGACATGGGCCCTGGTTGGTTCCGAAAGAATATTATATGGGCCGGACCCAGTTGCAAGTTGTGCAATCTTGAGATGAGTTGTCTTTCTTCACCGTACCTGCGATGATGGAAGGCAAGGGTACACGCAGATCAAAAGTTTGGGACACACATTTCATGAGTTTGGCTGCGTTTCTGGGACGGACACGTGCCGATCTAGTGACCAGTTTCAGGGTTGGAATGTGGTCGCATCTTCCTTCGGTTGGGTTATGTCACACGTATCCCTTCGATTGCCGAGGATTCTTGGGAGGGTGGATGCTTTGGGGCAAGTGGGACAACACAACTTCTGGTAGATTCCTTTCGGGGTGCAGCCCATCTATCAGAGTATCAGCATGACTTTCGGGAGAAACGTTCCATTTTTGTTGCACCAACTTTCGTTGGAATCCGTCAAGAAAATGAGGATCGATTCCTTTCCACGCGGTGACAACATGGCTCACATGTTGGGAGTGTGCGGCTATGAATTCATTCACCGCTTGGGGCTAGACAAAAGCTGAGTTGGACACTTTTCGGGTTATTGCAAGGGATGGCTTCGGCATTTGGGAAGTCAACGCACCAACCGCTGTGGGGAAGTAGACGATCTGGGAGTTACTACATAGTCAGCAACCCTACTGACGTGGTTGCCCTTTGCTGTGATGTTCATGTTGTGAGCCTTTTGGACACCGATTCACTCCCCGGCAAGTAGGTCACCGGCCACCCATAACCCAGGTCGCTCTGAACAGTTCCCTTTGCGTGCAAACTAGGCGCCATGTTGTTTGTTCTTCCGATGGGCAACCAAGAGGAATGGTTTTTCATCGGCTGAAAGCTATGGGTCCTTTGCCCAGAGTCCAGTCCATGCCCTACAGACCCCTGAGCTTTCCAGCTTGCAACCCTCAAATCGAACTGCTTCAGAACCTTCCAGAACTCTCAGCCTCCAGAACCAGCCTGCATGGAAGCCCAGCACCTTTCAACAAAAACAAACATGGGAATCCGCCGGAACCCCGCCCACTCCACGGAACCGTCCGCCACCCGCAGCCACAGCCACTGCTTTCCGCGGCAACGAAGCCCTCGGGCAACCTCCAGGGTCGGTTCTCACCGGCTTGCGCTTCCGGGGGCTGCCGTTGGGGATGCCTGTTGTGTCTGTTGTTCCATACCATACTAAAAGGTACCTAAATGGGAAAGTAAATAATACATAACTGGATAAGACAAATGAAGGAGTAACACTTGATTGAGTGAGTGGGTGGTTAAACATGAATCAGTATATTAGTAAATAAACAAAGGACGTTTTTTTTTTTTAACCGCACCAATGTTCCGTTTTATCCAGACCCTTCCCGGTTTGGCCATCAGGACACCGGGGCCGTAATTCTGGCCACGCTGGTCATGGACCGGCCGGGGGCCTCCAGGATTTGGCTATTTTTTCTTATAGGAACCCCCCTGAACAGTGGTTGGTGGACATAAATCCAACCACCGATGTTTGATGTCCACCAAAGGGCCTAGAAAAAAATAGAATTCATGCCATATTTGGGGAAAAACTGGATGAACCAACGGGAATCGTCTTGCTGGTGCGAGAAATTTAGGGAATAAGAAATGGAATGACCCCACCAAACCATCCAACTGGTGGTTTCCTTTAAGAGGACCCCTGGGTTTCTTCCCACATTCCCTACTGAGCACCAGCAAGTTACACACCCAAAATAGTTTTACAAAAGGCTTTTTCTACTAGGGCCTTTGCAAGTGAGGATGGTCTTTGAGAGATGAAGGCTGAGTGACAGTCTGAATCTCTGTGAACTTTCGCGCTGTTTGAGTCGGGTTCGATCTAAACCTCTCCAGTAATTCGTCCATGGTCTACTGCGGGAGGGACCTGGGGGAACTCAGTAAGCCAACAACACCCAGGGGACTCACTCAATTTCCCATGTCGGGGAAGCTTCGGAATGTTGACCGGCTGACATGGTGTTGGTTAGGTCTCGAGGTAGTTTCCCAGACCCATCTGAAGGCGGGATGTATCTTGGCGCCAGCCGCTCATGAAACAATGGGTCAGCAGGGATGCCCGACGTTGGGGACCACCGATATTCAAATTGGCTCCGGCTCTGATTCAGCAGGGGAAAGGCCGGGCAAAGGGTCTGTCACTTTTTGTTGCCCCTGGCATGGGTGTTTTTCTTCTCAAAATGCGTTTCGCCCTTTTCCCGCGGGGGTTGGGGTGGGGGGAGGGACTGGTATGTGCCCCCAAACATTCCAACAAAGAAGCTCCGCCTTTCCAATGGACTGGAGTTCGCCACATGCCAACTGGTTTGTGGGGTTGGTTAGTCGCGTGATTGCTGGACTGTCGGCGTAAGTCTGATGGTCTGATGTTGACTGGTGTTTGCTTGGTATGTCTTCCGAAGTGCACTGACGCAGCCTTTCCAAGAGGACAAATGCATTCCTTTTCCAAGGGCTATGTGCACTTCCATGTTTGTTGGCGGGAGGGTACTGGATAGCCTTGGGGAAGTGAAATCAAAAGAAGGGCGCCACCAATGTTGGTTCGGTGCACCAACCCCGCGGAAGACTACTTTCCTTTTGATGGTGCATGCTTTCCTGGAGGGTATGTGGGTAGCTCATGGTATCTCCAGGTCTAGATTTGAATAGGGAACAACCCAAGCAGGTTGGGCAGAACTTCCTCTATGTAAATGATGTGCACCAACGGCTACATCTTCCATGGCTGAAGGTGAGTCATCCAACCTCAGGGAAGCCCCCCGTGCGAACCCGCGACTCGCCCGAGTCCATCGGTGCGTGGAAAGCAACCTGCAATGGACCCCTGGGCGTCTAGGTGGGGTGCCGTCGCTTCTCTCTGCAGCAAACCCATTGGAGTTGTGGCGTTTTGCTTTTCATGTTGTCTTGTTGGTTGTTCTTCATGTTAAGTCTTGGACATCTATCCCATGCCCATCTGGAACTCCACAGCTTCCCATAGAACCCCGACGAAGAAAGGATGAAGGTATATAAACCGGTGTCCCCGACTTTCCCCGTTCACCTCCAAAAGTGGCACATCGGAACCAGTCAGTTTAGTTTGGTATTCGACGCAAGGTGCCTGCGGCTCATCACACTGAAGCTGCCGAACGAGGAGCGCCGCTACGCCATGCAGGACAGAATGGTTTTCTTGGCTGGAGAGTCCTTCTGTCGATTTCTCCCAGGTTTTCCTTTAGGTACCCGCCTGACTCCTGTCACGTTGCCATGGGACCACCACAAATTCTCTACAATGGTCTTCCAGCACCACCCTGTCAAAGTCCATGTTAGTGGACAGGAGGGTGCCATCAGCTTTGGTGAATTCAAAGATCACCTGTTGGGCCAAAGTTTTCCGGGGAAACGCTTGGAGAAATGCGGGGGAACCCTGGAGGTTCTTTTGTCCCTTCAAGGGTCTGGCACCTTTCACGGTTGGATGGGTCTGAAGGACGTCAAGTGTGTCACAAGTTGCGCGGATTCCGCCCATGGAGAACTGGGTTGGTGAGACGTGAGACGTGAGACTTTTCATGGTCCGATTTCACAAACTCAAGTATCTCAGAGTTGGCCATTGTGAGTTTTTTTGGTCGGTTTCAAGTTGTTGTTGAGTCATCAACCAAGCGTGGCCTGTTGCAACTCAAGCACAATGTTTGGGTGGATTATCTCATGACCAGCTGGCTGCTCGACGCTTACTTGCGTTGCCCAAATCATCCATTTGGACCATTTTGGAGTTCCTTGATCAGCTGAGCCACGTGCTCAAAACCCGGGGATTGATGAAGGTTAAGGGACAATCCCAACCACAAATAGCCTGCGGATATCCGCCTTCTTAATTCTTTATATGGTTCTGGGTAGACCATGTTGATACCGATCGGTTTTGATTGTGACTCAGCTGATTTAGAAGATCCGCCCCCCTTTGTGAAACCAGTGAATTTGGGATGTATCTTTGTGGGAAGCCTTGGGCAGAGATTTGCGCGGTGGAACCGGAGTGTCGGTTCCGGCGGTGACGCGTCGGATCCTAGCAAAATACCGCCTGCTAGGGTTATGTGGTTAGATGTGGACGGTTCTCCTGCAATGATTAGGGGAATCAACCACATCATAGTACATTCCCTTTGTGCTTTGGCGGCTGCTTATTTTGGGTAGATGCCGATTGTCGCTTTTTCAGATATGTGGTTTCCTTTGAGCAGGGAGCTCAACAAGGCGTACTGAAAAGATGGCAATGGAACATATATTTGTCTTGCTGTTTCTCAGCAGGGAATGAGATAATGACCCTAAAAACCATTCCCTATGGTTTCCTTTAAGGGAATCTTAGGTTCATTCCAAACACCCTGGGTCATTCCCTACTGAGCACCAGCAAGTTATGGCTAGTTGGTAGACACTACCTTTTTTGGTTGAACGTGTGTTGATGTTCCATTGGACCCGCAACAAGTTATACACTTTTTGCAGAGGGGTCAACAGCAACCAGGATTCTTGGCAGATTCTTTTCACAGCATTTGGGCAAAACATGGAGACCTCAGATTGGGGACTGTGCGCCCCACCGATCAAGCTCTTCCTTTGGATGCCTTCTCTCGGGTTGGTGAGTTGTTTCATTCACCCAGAAGAAGTGGGGGGGGGGACGCAGCAAAGTGAAGAGTTGAAGCTTTCACCAGACGCCGCGAGACAAAGGAGCGGTTGTTGAACATGGAGCTGGTACCGGCCATGAATCTGAGGAAGGGAGACCCATGGACTTGGGTATATATATATATATGTGATGCATATATGCATGTACGTATAAACGCACAAACAAAAGTGTATATATATATACACACTATGCGGAACGGGTTCTGTTTTGCCAAACGAAGGTTCCAACTGATCCGAGCAGGCCCCACCCAACCCGCCAGCCAGCCAGCCTGCGCGGAGGACATGATCGCCATTTTTCGGGATAAGGAGTTCACATCCCTGGCCCGGTGCTCAAAAGGCTTGAAGTTGCTAGGCTGTGAGTCAGTGAGTCCTTTTTTCTGTCGGCAACTACTACGACCAGATTGTTCTAAGGACGGCAGTCCCCTTTGTTTTTTATGGTAAACCAGTGAAATGATGCTCGATCTTGATGGGCACTCTGTGTGGTCGAGAACTTTTCCCCGCTTGGACAACGACAGTTTCCAACCGCTCGCCAAAGGCTTCAGTTGTTGCAATCAGGGGCAACGACCCAACGCTGGCGATGAGACTTGGGAATGTTTTGTCCAACTGTCCTGAATTTGCGACATGCCGACAAAAAGGTTTCGTTAGGGTTAGGGAGAGAGAGAGAGAGAGAGAAAGAGGAGAGAGAGAGAGAGAGAGAGAGAGAGAGAGAGAGAAAGAGAGAGAGAGGGAGAGGGAGAGAGAGAAAGAGGAGAGAGAGAGAGAGAGGGAGAGAGAGAGAGAGAGAGAGAGAGAGAGGGAGAGAGGGCGGGAGAGGGAGAGGGAGAGAGAGAGAGAGAGAGAGCGAGAGAAACTGAGAGATGTCACTAGACGCGATCAAGAGATCGGTGCACAGATTTTGCAGAGACAAATCACCCAGGCTGTGACGGAGAGATGTCACAGAGAGCTGGCTCAGAGGAGAAGCAGAGAGATTGCGCAAGAGGCCGTCATGCAAAGATTGTTCAGGCAGAGTCATTGCGAAATTTCGCAGAGAGATGTCGGCGCCCACGCGCGCCCGGATCTTTCCCGTCGCCTCGACGCAGGGCCAGGCGTATTATGTGGAGTGAGTTCTAGACGGTTTCTGCCCGGGAATTTCGCACAGAGTTGGACGCTTGGCAAAATCATGCAGCTGCATTTTGGGTTGGCACAATTTGAGAAGAGGCCACCACGTTCCGAACAGCGAGGGCAAACGCTTTTGCGGAAGCCTTGTGGAGCATTTGCTTGTCTTGAAACGAACCTTTGCAGACATGTACAGTAGGCTTGCATGTGCTTGTTGGTCAAGCAGCCAAAACGGGCCCTCTGAAACCAATGAAGCGGTTGGGCGCATGTGTAACTCAATACCGCCTTTGGGGAAAACAGCTGCGACCAGCCACGAATGCTTGAAATGGCTCATGTCATTGCCATCGCTGACGCTGGAACATTGGTAGCTGAGCGAGACACGTGTTCTTTGGTGACTCATGTGTTACACATGCGGCTTTTGCTCGTGTAGGATTACCTTGAAAAGGCTCGGTTTAACTTGATGCGTGGCGAAATGCGGCATGTTCCTGCAAAAGCAAGTGCCAGGCCGATATGAGTGCTGGAAGTTCCTGCAACTTCCAGCAGGGCAAAACTTGAACCGTCCGCGCCAGATGCTTTTCAACCTGGCTGTGCGGGGTGGAAGAAGATGGTTTGATTGTGACAAACCTGCGTTACGTGGTAGAGGCTTGTTCGGCTCTTGCAAAGCTGAAGTCTTGGTGAGCAGAACTATCCCGCCTACCCCCACCTCCAGAACATGCCCTGTGTCAAAGACAACCGACGCCCATGACGCCGCTCATGGCAACGCTGGCAAAACATCCGGTGCCCTATTATGTGCATACGTCCTGTCTGTGTCTCAAACCGGAGAACAACCCCAACAAAAGTCGCTTCAAAGCCCCAAACGGGCAGGGAGTCTGGAGCACCTCTCACTTTCGTCTCGGCACGAGGTGCCTAGCCTTTCTCACCTGGCTCCCCGATGCCTGGCAGTGGCTGGGGCCCCAGACGTGTTGAACGCTCCAAGCTTCGTTCTAATGGGGAAGGGTACCATTCGACTCTATTCCAATGACTGCAGTTGCTTTGCTGACTCAGGGAGTCAGACACACATCCGTCAAGAAAAGAAGCCATCGTAACACAGCTTTTGGCCCGGCCTGCGTGGTTGAGATACGGTGAGCCATGAGCACTGCGCTCAATGGCTTTCGTGGGCATATCAAGAAGCTCCCCCCAGAGCCCCCAAAAGGTTTTGGAGTCAGGATTTTCAGGCGTTTGTCCATTTGGGTATGAGTCAAATCTAAACCACCCAGGGACTGCAGGTTTTAGTCCATGGTTCCATTTTGGGTGCCCGTGTTTGACCCACAGCCATGTAGAAAATAACTGCTGCCCCACCAACTAGACAAGCAGTACCTTTCGGGTTTTTTTGGGCCTTGGTGCGTGGCAGAGTGTGGCTGGCCGAGTGTGTTGTATGCTCATGGATGTCAATGAATACGGGTCAGCGGTATGGTTTCGACTCAGGGATGTCGCGCCTAGTCTTGAAATGGCCATGGGTCAAAAGGCCATACCCCCAGTGAACATCTTAATCCATACTAAAATAGACCAAAATGGGTGGTGCACATGCCCCAAAATGGCACTATTGGTTTTGACCCACAGCCAAATGATGTTTCGCCGCGCTTAGCTTTGAACCGCACCTTGCCTTGATGAATTGCCAACAAGAGGAATCACGGCGAGCGAAAAACTAGCAGGCATCTGCAAGCTGCCGATGTCGAGGGTGGGAAAATGCGTCAGGATCACCCATGCCAAAGGATCAGGCCAATCAGTTCCAACATGTCAATGGAGCCAGTTGATTGACAGATTGCTCCCCTTGAAGCTTTAAACCCAACATGAAACTCCACTTAAGGAGGGCTTCCGTGTGTGTGGCACATGTTTGTACAATGTGATCAGTCAGTCATGACTGGATGGGAATCAGCCACTTTGGCATTCCAGAAGATAACCACCACGAACAGATCTGTCCGAAGTAGCGGCCAAAAATCGTGCATTTTGCTGCGGTTATTGTGCAAGCCTTTCCGAGATGGTCCCACATGCCCGTTGCCATTTTGCGGCATGGTCACTGCTAATCCCGTATGTTTGATAGATCTGAAGGGTCATGTTTCAGGTTTCTCTATGTTTGACTTTTGGTGGTTTTACACATCAGTTCTTTCAGGCCACTTCAACGCGAGGCGATGCCAAAACGGCGTAGGTCACCCTTTGTTTAGGACCTGCGATCGCTGCTTTCTCAGGATTTCAGCAAGGATGAGAATTTCCGGCTGTGCTTCCAGTTTCAGGCCGGGTCCGTGCGAGGTCACCATCCCCTCCCCCCCACACAATAGGTTCCACTTGGAAGCTGGGGGCTGGACTCTCACTCCCCGAGATACGTTTTGTTCTCTCTTCTTTTTTTTTTTTTGGGGGGGGGGCATTTTGTGGCGAACAAAAAGTTCGGACCTGTTTGGGCCAATCCACTCAAGAAGGTGAGACATACTCCACCTCATTGATATTTTCATGTATGTATGTGCTATTTAATGTTATTTATTTCTGTGTGTGCTTTCCAGACGCTTCCGAACTCATGTTTTCCACGGACTGCTAAAAGGGACCCTCTGTGTCCCTCCGCTTTGGTATGTTCAATAAGCGGGCTTCTCAGTGTCAATCATCCGGGCGACCCACAATTGACATCAGTAAGCATGACAGTCCGATCTTGGTGTGGGCTTTTTCCTTGCAGCGAGTCGGCAGTAGTTGGTGCATGTAGCAAGATGCATCAGAATTTACCAGGCAGCTGAATGTGGGCCGTGTGTGGCAATATGGTCAAGGACATCGGAGATTCTGCACAAACTTGTTGGAAAGATCATTTGAGTGGCCAACACAAGTTTGGATACCTTTTGATTTTTTTCTGACTAATCCTGCCAGCTCAGCTAGCGAGAAAGTCTTAAAGTCCTGAAGGATCCCCTCTGTATCACAGGAAAGGAACCCACAACCAGCTCAGCAAGCCGGCCTTTTTCAAGTGGGCCACTCCAAACGTGACGCTTTTGGTTCTTTTGCATTTGGCTTTTTGTTGTTTCCGGGTTCCTAGGAGGCAACTGACTCACTCTCCCCACACATTGGCGGTCTCCTTGTGGAACCCCTTACCTGCGTAGTCAACAAGCTTGAAGCTTTTGGTTGATAGGTCCTTTGTCAAATTAGTTAAAGGCATCCTTAAGGGTGGGGACCTCTCCGGATCGTCAGAGCAGGCCAGTTTTCCATCAGCGCAGAGAGGATCTTTCTCTCTCTCTCTCTCTTTGTCTTACCTGACGCACTGGCAAACCTAGGACACCTCTGGCTGGCGGGTGTCTTCATCATTTGAGTCAAGTCAGCCAAAAAGCCAGACAGAAATTACCTTGTCTCCATGAGTCGGGGTGGGCCTTGCAAATAAAAGGAAAGCGCGCTTGCCGTTGTCTTCATTTCGCCTTTTTTCGCTGCTTGGTGGCTGGGCAGCCCTCCGGTTCCTTAGCTTTTTAGATCCTTTTCGTGCTTAGTCGTCGTTTCCATGTCACCCGCCACTCTTCGCGGATCGGAAATCGGGCAGCCACCAATTGCTTCCTTGGGAGGACTCGGAGGGCCGGGACAACTTCTACAGCTGCCTAAAGCGGCTCGGCCGGCCGGAAGTTGCGGTCGCGGTCGCGGTCGCGGTCGCAAACCCAAGGGTAAGGACCCGGGGCGTCTGATCGACGCGATGGCGTCAGAGGTGGGTCCTCCGATAGAAAAATTGCGACGTCGTTTTTTTGCGGAGTGGGAGGTGCCCAGAGAAACTGCTCCTGGCTGCGGCTTTCAAAGACCCGACTTGAGACACCCCGCTTCGGTTGGGACCCGGGCTCATTGGTGAAAACCAGGTTGCTTGAAAGTCCTAAATCGGTGCGGATTCACCCGGGCTTGAAATGGAAGATATTTGAAGCCTTGGCCAGGCCGAAAGGAAACCGCCCATGGGGGAAGTAATGAATGCGGCCACCCCCCAACCCTCAATGATAATAATAATAATAACAACAATGACAATAATAACAATAAAATAACAGTAACAGTAATAATGCTAGTAGCAATAATGATAATAATAATGACAATGATGATGAAATAATGATAATACCCATAACGAATTTATATATATATATATAATATAATATATATATATATGTATATATACTTATTATGCATTCTCCTGGGGGCCGAATACCATACATATATATGTCATATATGGTGATAGGGAACACTCTGCTACTGTCCTCGCTCAAATTTTGGTCCCCCCCCTTTCCAGGCCCAAACAATCGTTAACCCTGGCAATGTCCCCCCACAAGGAAATTCAAACCCCAGAATTCTAAGTCTTCTTTGGATTGGTTTCAAATGGTGTCGAACTGGTTCAATGTTTGTTTGATATCGGTATTGGTTTTCAAATGTCCCAGGATAAGACTGGAGTTGGGGTCGGCGGGAAATTGCTCGAGTAGAGTTGGTGTAGTGTTGGCCAGTTCTAATTTAGTGCTGGGGCTGGGCAAAGCAGTACGCAGGGTGCATTTGTTACTAGGGGGAAGGGACTACAAATGGTTGTGGATCAAAACCGAAGGTGCCTTTTTGGGGTATGGTTACCACTCCACTGTTGTCTTTTTAGAAAGCTTTCTGGGTGTTCACCGGGGTACCGCGGTTTTGGCCCATAGTTTGAGGGCTCGGCACTGAGGATCTTGCGCATGTCATTGGACACCGCCGCGCCGCCTGACGACGACGCCTGACGCATGTGCGGCTGAGCAGGGAGCTGTTGCAAGGATCCATCCAAGGTGGGGACAACCAACTCTCCGTAGGGTCTTGCCCCCCAGCAAAAATCAATCTGAGGCCATGGCACCTAAGGGGACCCAAATTTGGGAGGCCAATGAGATTGGAGGCGTCGGATTTCCACGACTCCCGTTGGCTCCGCATCAAAGCATGCGCCTGGGGCTCTCGTCGAAACCTTCCAGCTTGGGCAGCAGGATTCGCAGGTCGCAGAGTGAGCAGTTCAAAGCTCTCCTTCCTTGCAGGAAAGGGTGACCACCCTGCTCCCGCACAAACCGTGTTTTTTTTTTGGGGGGGGGTCAGAAACCGGAACGTTGTCATCACGTTTTGGGCCGCCAAACGTTGCGAATCACTCCAGAGAGCACATATGAGCAGATTGAAGCGGGTCGCCAAAAACCGTGGGAAGTTCCCCCCTACCCCTTCCGACACCTCAAGAAGGCGCCAAGGACCTGCGGGCCTTGATTTTTCCATGACACTCCGAAGCTTAACCCACGGCTGTGTGTTTTGTGTTTATTTCTTTTAACCTTTGAATTGATGTGGTTCGATTTTCGACATCGGTGAACATCAGTTCTCCGGTTGATTTCCAGGTCGTTTCGTTGCGCAAGCGCCTCAGAGAATGGGAGCTGTTTGCTGGAAGCCATAGACCCTTGGGGTTCTTATCTCTGCTTCTTGTATGCAGCACTGGGTGCCACAAACTGTCCACAATTGGGGCACTCCCCCTTGGGTTCTCCTTCAACTCAACTTCGAGATGGGTGCCCTCAAACAAAACATCCATATTTTGTCGCCGTGCTTGAAGGAAAGCCTCCATGTCCGCATGTCTCCCTGCTGGAAGGGTGAAAGTAAATGCCTGATGCTGCCATCTAAAGCTCAGCCAAAGTGAGCCCGAGCGAGCTCGGGCAATGACTTGTCAGCGGGCGTTGAGATAGTGTTGTCCAACTTTTTGGCTGCCCCAAGGGTTCGCCTATGTATAAACCTCGGCCAGACTGGGGGAAATCGGAAGCAGCCGTGGGGATGTGGGAAATGAAAGTTTCAAAGCGAGACTTGGGATGACTTAGCCATGAGCAGCAATCAGCCCAACCCCCCGGCCCAAAACCCTCAAAGTTTTGCTCATGGGCTTCCCTTGGCAGCGGTTGGTTCTTGCTGGTCAAGTCTTTTGCTTGATAGCTGAGGCATCCTTGAAACGAAGCCGACCGAAGAAAGATACCTGTCTTTTGCCCTCAGCGGTTTGGACCCAACAGTGTTTTTGTGTTCTCACTTCTCCAGCTTCTGGACTTGAATTTAATAAGTACTCAGTCGTTTGGACCGATCAGCGCAGGAAGTGAGTGGGAGTTTGGGTGGGCCCGTTTCAACTCAGCCAACGATGTTGCAAGTCCCGTGCTCTACGGGAAGGCTCTGGCTTCGAACTTTGGATGCGCCTCGTAGGTGCCCGTGCGATGCAAGGGAACCCACCACAACTTCGGTTGGTCACTCGGTGCCCTTTGTCAGTCGCAATGCTTTCAATCATGGTCTCAGGATGATCAGATATGTTGTTTTCTTTGAACATACTCGCATGGAAGGAGGGAGAATACAACTAAAGGGCTCGCTAGCTCCTTCCCCCCAGATAGGACATTTGTACGGGGAACAGCTTCAGAAATGGTACTGCTGGTGGGCAAAATTCCCACGTGTTTGGAATATCTGGGGGTTTCCTCCAAAATCAGCCAGCAAAGCAAGAGCCCCAGCTTTTGTGCCATAACAGAAGCACTGGGGAGGAAGTGAGCATCTGTGGCTCTCAATTCTTTGCTAGGTCGATGTTATTTAAAACACCTGATGTCATCGATCACTGGGCAAAAGCCGAAGCCGCGGATGTTCCGCGCTGGATAATTGCGGCTAGCACAAGCCAAGCAAGCCACGGCGGAAAACGGGCGGCTTTAGGGTATTCCCTATGAGGGACTTCTCTTGATGATTTGGAAGGGAGTGAAAGGGAGGAACCTATCAATTGGTTGGTATGGATGCGAACAACTTGTAGACTCATTTGAGCCACTTTGTGTGATACCAATGGCGGGCCCCTGATTTTTGGTATGTCTTCTAGTGGGACCTGAAACGTGTTGGTCTTCTTTTGACATCCCATTCAGCAAACCAAGACTCAAAGAACAGACCGGTATAACAAGCTTACCTTGGGACAAAGCGAGGATTGCCAGCTGCTTACTTGCGATTCCGTGTTTCCTTTGGGAATCATGGTATTTTGCCCAGATACTAGACCACCAAGGGGTTTTCAACTGGAAAGCCACCAGGAGGCACCTACCTTAATCGCACCAACATGGCACGTTACTGCCGAGATATGCCGTTTGTTCAAGAGTTCCAATCGTCTGTGGTTCATTTCGCGACAAATTCTGGGAACTCTTTCAGTTTCCCACAAGAGTCCGGTACTTCATGACTTTTCCCGTGTTTTTTTGGCGAAGCCGGTCATCTGCACGGCTAGGGGAATTCTGCGTGTCGTGAGGAGCTTTTGCGAGCTCTACGCCAGCCAGGGGAGGCCCTGGGGTGAGCCGTGTTTGTCTTCTTGGTCAAGGGCTCCCCAAATGGTCTGGGTGAATTGTAACGACCTCACACGACCGAATTCACCCCAAATGGTGGTTTATGTGGGGAATAGCCCTACCACCGCGAGTTTCAGGTTGGGGAAATATTATAATTCACCCAGACATGGTGGTGCTCCTTGTGGCTAGCCCCCTTGACACCAAGCAAACAGGTGGTCCCTGAAAATCAATCCACTCAATTCTTCTGAATCCAGACGCGTTCAACACCCAAGTTGTGGTGGGCGGAAGTCGGGATACACCTTTGCTGGTTTCAAGCATCATCCTTTGGACACGGCACTTATTTAAAGTGAGTTTCCTTCAAGTGGGGTGGGGGAGATAAGCGAACCTGGAGATTGGACCTTTGACCTTTGCAATCTTGTGGGAACATGTGTGGTTCCTTTGCGAGACGTGACCATGGCAGATGTTTTGTTTCCTCAAACAGGGGATTCCCTTTGTTGTTCGCGTCAATGGAAATCAACGCTCACCATCTCTGGGGGCCATGGACAATGTTGAAATTGGGAAGGGACCCCTTTTTCAGTCAACAAGAATCCCTTGCGCCCAGAGATACATCTAAAGAGCAGTTGTAATGTTCTTGTTGTTTCCCCAAGCCAAAACGAAAGCCAAAAAGGCATACCCACGCAACCCCAACCCAACCCAAACCCCTGGGGATACTACACAAGAGGCATGCCAGTGTCTGAGGTTTTGATACCAGAGCCCACAGCGTTCAGGTCCCAGACTGCAGCCGGCTGTGCACTACCACACTGGCGGCTTGGAAGGGAAATTGCCGGAAGGCTTCGTGATTCCTTTGTGGTGCGCTGTTTCCCGCTTCTGCTGGGCGGGGGGGGTGCTTTGGTTGAACCAAACGGCGGTGGTGTCCTGGTGGTGCCTCTTCAGAGCAAGGTTTCGTTGGGGTGACTACCCTGAAACACACACATCCAGTTGGCAAGCTTCTGAGAGCCACACTTACAAGACAGTCACTTGTTGGCAAGCTTGTTTTTTTTTGCTAGCAAGCTCCTGCCCGAAAAGCGCACATTTGTTCTAGTAATTTGAGCAGGTCCGATCTGGGTCAGCATTGATTCTTGTACAGACCCGGTCCCATTCAGAGGAAACCCAAAACGAAGATTGTGCAAAAAAGAAAAAACAACATGCAATAGCTGTTTGAGCATGCTGTTCTAGGCTGGCTAAGCCTTTGTGACCAATGACAATGTGTACTGCATCGAGCCGTACTTCCAGCGGATGGGGAAACAAAAAAGCCCAGGTATCCCAGTTGCCGGTGGTTTCCGCAGTCAAGTCTTCCACCGTGGCTGGGCAAAGTGAAGGGAAGATGTGTGGGTCCCTGGCACTTTGGAACTTCGGATCTGATCCCGACGGCTCGAAGGTACACCCAAAGCGCCTTTGGAGGTTCGGTTTCAGCGGTTTGGCTCGCGAGACCTGCGTTTTGTGTGGATAGGTTGTGGCTCCGTGGGACAGTTGAGTGAGGATGCTCTGAGGAGAGGCAATTCGACCCTAGATATTTTTTGGTTTTTCCAGATCCCGAGAAATGTGCAATCTAGGTTTTTGCTTGCAAATCCCATCTCCGGGCCACTTTCTGGCCGTGTCTCACTTGCAGTTGCATATCGGAAATGCCTGAATGGTTATTTGTTTCAGTGACGGTGTCATTCTCAGCTTTTCGCCGGGCTTCCGGCAGCGCGGCTTCCAGTCTGAGGTTCTGAAGGACCTGAGATGGAAGCCACAGCCTGAGATCTGGGCGAAGGACCTTCAAGCTGCAACACCCTGTTCCCCTTGAACACGTCAAACAATCCCAGTTGCCCAGTTGGTTGCTTCCTTTGATCCGTTTCTTTGGGAAGGGTTCCCCTTCAAAGTCAACCAACCAACAAAGGATCCCCGAAATTAGCCCATGGATATCCACTGGGCTGGGCAAAGCATTTCTCGAATGTCTCCCGAGCGGACCGGCTGGCTTCTTTGCGCCCAGGTACTGCAAGCACACCGATGCCTGCATCGTGGAGTTTGACCATTTCTGCGGGCGCGGTGACCGACTTTGGCCGCAGCATCTTACCCCACCAGCTGACGTGGAAGTGAACAGACCGTAGAAAGACTACTTTCCTCTTGGAAAGTGCCTTTTTGCACTTCCATGTTACTTGGTGGGAGGGTAAGTACATCGTTCGGTAAGTACATCGTTCCCTAACCGCCTTGTTCACAAATGATGATGGCAACACAAATGTTTAAAAATCCTAAGTTTAGAACTGGACACTGAGTAAGCTTCTGCTGACTAAGGGAGCAAGGCCCAAAACTGCGTCGAAGTGTTCAGTGGGTTTGTAGTAGTGCCAGGTGTCACGAGACGTTAGAGTAAGAGCTACAAACCTCCACACGCATGCTGGTAGAATCACCAGCCAAAGAGTTTGGGGCGCTGA